ACGGATGCTGCTGGCTCCTGTACTGGCAACACTTTCAAGTGTTCAAAAGGTGTTGTTGAATGCCTCTGAGTTATAGTAAATTCAGCTGAAGCTGCATATTAGAGTAGTCTTCCCATTTATATGGAAAACAAACCAAAAGACTGAAACTTGATGTCTGTAGAGAGTTGGCCCAGTATAATTTCATTTAAGATGTATCACCTTGTTTTTCTCTGTTGGCTATGAATTGAGACTATTAAAGGGCATTTATTCTACACCAGAAGAGCATTTAACTCCTGTGTGGTTAAAATAATACTGAGATCAGTATACTGGAAGGAAGGAGACCCGCCATCCAATAGCTTCCTCTGGTAGCTCTTACGTTCATTGAGAAGGTTAATGGACAGTCTTTGCACACAACCTGCAACCCCGTTCCCCGGAACTTGCCGAGGACACTTTGCAAGAGACTCAGTAACCCTTGTCTGCGGGCAATATGCACAGCTGGGAAAGATAATTAAATAGACTGTTTCTTTTCAAGAGATCTGCATGATTTCACCAGAAGGACCTAGCAATTCTGCTGGACTCAGACTGAAAACTATTACTAACAGACATACTTCAGACAGATTTCATAATCACCAGACTTGTGTGGTACAAATGGTTATGGTGAGCTTCTGAGGCTCCCAAAAGACCGATAAAACTGTCAAACTTAAGAAGCACTGGAGTTCTGAAGTGAAGAATTAAAAATTTCATTCAGTTTCACATGTAAGGTTGCGACCAGAAAGTGCTTCTTCCGTTTTTCAAAACTGCTCGGTTACATGGTTGCTGTTCTCTCTCAAAAGACCCCCTAAATCTCATCCTGTGACATTTTGTTTCAAGCTTTGTGGAGGGTATTGAATGATATGGCGTAGCTTTCATCAAGGGCGACATGATCACATGATTACATTTCCCCCCCACATCAAACAAGGAATGTCATGAGAAGAGAGAAGACACCTCACGCTTGAATGTTAACATTTCTGAAAGGCAGTGTGATTTATCGGGTAAGTTTATATTGCTATTATGCAACTTTACCCAAAAGATTGGGGTGAAATCTTAGGGAATTAAAACTTCCCGTGAGCTTTCCTTTTGAATACTGCTCACTGGAGTTGGTTGCTCCCATTAGATTTTGGCTACTGAGAGAGACAAGGTTTTTTTTGTTTGTTTGTTTGTTTTGCTGTCTCAGACAGTGCTTCTTCCTGAACAAACCCAGTCCATTTCGACCCAACACACTCTCTACGTAAATAGTTGCTGTGTGTAGGGAAACTAGTTCTTTTTTCTCCCCAGGAGTCATGAAACCCAGTCACTGTTTTTTCGTCCTTTAGTGTTTTCTCCTGAACAGAACTGCCCACTTTCTCTCCAGTTCCAAGTCCTGCTTTCTGTGAGTGACGCCCATTCTTTCCAGTGGGAAGACCCTTGCTCTGACAAGTGCTACATTGTTATGGGCCTTGGCATGGTTGAATGATGGAGCAGAAGGTGCAGTAAATTTAGACTTTAAAAAAGCAGAATTTGATAGAATGGTGCATTTTGTGCCTCTGATGAGGACATAGTCTAGCAGGATTTACAGATACATGCATAATTAACATGAGTATAGTGATAGTGTAAGATAATGATCTGTTAGAGGCACATGAAAAGATGCTCAGTATCATTAGTCATTAGGGAAATGCAAACTAAAATCACAGCTCCAGTGTGATACCTCTGTATGTCTACAGAATGTCTAAAATGAAAAAGACTGACCATACCAAGTATTGCCTGGGGATGTGGAGCAACCAGGGCTCTCATCTATTGCTGGTGGGGATGTAAAACAGAACAATCACTTCTGAAAACGGTTCAGTAGTTTCTTAAAAAGTTAAACATATGCCTACCATACACTTACCATATAGTCCAGCCATAATATGCTTAAATACTTACCCAGGAGAAATGAAAGCACATGTCCACACAGAAAAATGTACACAGATTGCTCATGGCAGTTGTATTTGTAATAACCCAAAGAAAACAAATGCGATGTCCAACAGAAGGATAAGCAACTTGTGTTTATTTATGGGCTCTATCCATCCAATGGAATACCACTCAGCAAGGGAAAGAATCAACTATTCATACATGCAACAACATAGATGTCCCAAAATAATTATGCTGAGTTAAAGGAGTCAGACAAAAAGGTGAGAGCGTCTTGGGAATTAAATTAATGTAGTAACAGTGGAAATATAGAAAGGAGAAAAAGGACTTTATTGTTACTTCAAAGACGGAATTGACAAGGCTTGCTTATGGGATGGTGGCTAGCGGGGTGTACACCCTGAGGTCTTTCTCAGCTTAGGCTTTTCTGACGGCTCGTCAGCTGTTGGTGGTGGGGATTACTTGGAAGATGGTGCTTAAGTATATAGGAAATGGGGAGCTAATTGTTTGAACCAATTCTTTGAACAAGACCCCCAGGAAGAAACATTCAATAGGGAAACCATAAGTACTACTGCTTAAGGAAAATAAACTTAGGTTTTGGCTTTTTAGTAAATACAAGTATAGATAGCTAATAAAATTGTGTTATCAATGAGAGAAAACAGAGAAGAGGACAAAGAAAAATGGGATTCCTAGATCCAGTCTCATGGATAAGAGGGAACGAAAGGTTGAGGGCAGAGAAAGGGTAAGGAAATGGGATGGGATGCCTCAGGGCAGAAGGACAGGGAGCTGATTTGGAAAGCAAGAAACTTTATGGACATCTTGTTTATGCAATGTCCCTGTCACCCTGGTGTATCTTAATTTGTGGGTCTGGGTTTATTTAGTCAGTTCGTCCAAAGTCTATAATGAATTGCAGCTCATAAGGAGTGGTGTCAATTGTGGTCAAGGGCACAGGTTCTGGAGATTATGTTCCCACCTCTGACCTTACCAAATACATCAGCTCTCTGATCACCTGCTTCCTTATCTGGAAAATGACATCCCTGTCAGTTTCTATCTCTGAGAATTATTGTAGTGATAAATACTTAAACAGATTTGTATGGAAAGTACTTAGTATTACTTCTAACCCATAGTAAGGGCTCAACAAATTGATCTTCCTCTTCTTTCCCTCCTTCTCCTTCTCATCTTCCTCCTCCTCCTTCTTCTTAGTCACTACTCTTGCGCATCCACCATATTGTCAGTGATGATTGGAAAAAGCTTTTCTCTCCCAATAAACAAAAAATAAAAAAACACTTTCGTGTTTGTTACCAGAAGTAATCATAATGCCACCTTTATTCATCTGACTCATTTTCCCCCAAAGTAATTTATTTACGTATACTATGTTATTAGTCTTTCTTTTACACGATATGGAAAAAGGGGGCGTAGCTTAGTGATGAAGCAAAGAGGTAGACATTTAGTGACTTTGGTCCTGCCTGTGCTCCAATTCCTATTTGTTTTAAGGCAGGTAAGTTACATTTCTTGCACCTAAATATCTTCAACGGAAGCAGAAATGAAATATAATAATCACATAAGGCTATTAAAAGTGTCAAAGTAAAAAGCATATGAGTTTTAACACTATTTAAGTATAAAGCTTTATAGAAAGCTAAGTGGGTTGTGTAAGTTAGTATATTTCTGTAGATGTAACTAAGGCATTAAGATGTTTAAGTTGATTAAAGTTCATTGATATAGTAGGCTTAAAAAATAGTTACTTGAATGCAGATGGCCAACAGACACATGCATAGATGCTCAACATTACTAATCAGGGAAATGAAAATCAAAACCACAATGAGATATCATCTCACTCCTGTCAGAATGGCCATCATCAAAAAGAACACAAATAACAAATGTTGGCGAGGATGTGGAGAAAAGGGAACCCTTGTACACTGTTGGTAGGAATATAAGTTGGTACAGCCACTGTGGAAAACAGTGTGGAGGTTTCTCAAAAAACTAAAAATAGGACTACAATATGACCCAGCATTTCAGATATATACCACTCTTGGGTATATATCTGAGGAAAACAAAAACACAAATTCAAAAAGATACAAGCACCCCAATGTTCACAGCAGCATTGTTTACAATTGCCAAGATGTAGAAATAACCTAAGTGTCCATCAACAGATGAATGGATAAAGAAGATGTGGTATAAAAAAAATATATATATATAAAATGTTGTGGTGTATATTATAACTGGTATACTACTCAGCCATAAAAAAGGATGAAATTTTGCCATTTGCAGCAATATGGATGGACTTGGAAGGCACTATGTTAAGTGAAGTAATAGGTCAGACACAGAAAGACAAATACTGTATGATATCACTTACATGTGGTATGTAAAAAAATACAGCAAACTAGTGAATATAACAAAAAAGAAACCAGACTCAGACACAGAGAACAAACTAGTGGCTACCAATGGGGAGAGGGACAGCGGGAGGGGCGATATAGAGATGAGGGAGTGGGAGATAAAAACTGTTGGATGAAAAAGAGACTCAAGGATATATTGTACAACATGGGGAATACATCCAATATTTTGTAATGATTTTAAATGGAAAGTAACCTTTACAATTGTATAAAAAATTTTAGAAATGAATTACTTGACTTTCCTATAAAGTGTACTTCTATTTCATGTTATTCCATCTAATGGAAAATAGAGCATCCCAGTTCAAATCTCTGGTTGCATTCATTTCACCAGCAATGACTTTTCATTTTAAGTCAGAAGTGTTTTTTTGTCTCGTTTCAGGCTTTGTGGATTTGACCCTCCATGATCAGGTCCACCTGCTGGAATGTGCCTGGCTAGAGATCCTCATGATTGGTCTTGTCTGGCGCTCCATGGAGCACCCAGGGAAGCTCCTGTTTGCTCCTAACTTGCTCCTAGACAGGTGAGTGACCTGGCTGTAGCCTGGGGGAAGAACATCCTTGATAATAACCAGTTTAATCCTGAAGCTGTTTTATCCAACACTTCATGAAGCTTCTGAGAACTTTGTCAGATATGTTTACAAGTGGGTGAATTCGGGTGATGTAAGGTAGTCGAGTTCACAGAAAGCGAAGGATAACTTTCTGCTAGACATCTTCCCAGATTAGCTCTGTTATTTCTAAAATATGTATATGTGTGTATTTGTAAAATTATGAACTGTAATTTTCTAACTCCACCTTCATCTTGTATTGTATGAAAAAAGGATGAGTAACTCCCCTTTAATTAAAATCTTTTTTTGGCTCATGTACCTCCAAGCCACAATAGCCTTTTCATTTCCTTTTCCAATTTTCCCATCAGTAAATGAGGAAATTTGATCAGAGTTTTGAAGGCCACTTCAAGTTTTAATGAATTCATAAAAGTTACTTGCTTATTTAGAAGATGAAGATTTCAGTTTTCAAATGCTACTACCGTATTTAATGGATTCCATTTAGATTGACTTGGAATGCGAGTCCTGCCATTCTTTCTTATTCAGTCATTGCATAGAGTGACAGAAGTCAGACATTATTCAAGAACAGTTAGCACTGCCAGAGTCCCTATCCCGCACCGGCCGCTGTGCTGAGTGCTTTACATAGATGGTCTTATTTCATCATCACAGCACCGCTGGGAAGCTTATCACTCATGTTTTATCCGAAAGGAAGCTACGTTTCAGAGACATTCTGCTCCTAGGAGAAGCCCTGAGCTAGCTAATGGTGGAGACAGGAATGGTGGAATTCACAATCTGGCCGGCCGTGGCACATCATACTGCCTCCTGCCCTGTGCACACGACCTTCACACTTCCCTTATCAGGGATGCCTTCTTTGGTTTGTTGCTGTGGCCTTTTGTTTCCACGTATGACTTCTTTGTGGACTACATAACCATTTGAATGGGAAAGGTCCATCTTCTCATTGTTCCTTGTAAGATTTTTGGCCTCTGCTCATCAGTCCAGGTTGCCCATGATGTGTCTTTGTGTGATCCTTCCTTTCGGATTGCCTCCCTACCTCCCCATCTCCTGTCTCGCTCCGGCTTCCTTCCCTAGACCTGCTCAGCCCCCTGGAACAGAGTTCTGGCAACATTTATTTATTTAAATACTGGAGAATTGTACAAGTACTGGTTCCTGTTCAGTCATTTTGTGTTACCATAGCTTTGAAAAACAGTGATGATAGGTTCAAGAAGCAGACTTTCTTTCCATGGAATGTATTCCCCTATAAGGGCCCTGTGAAATTATTGAGTATGGCGCCCGATCTTGTTCCGTAGAACGGCCCTCACACAGCATTCTGTTCGCCTTTTAGAGGATGTTTCTACAGTGCTCCCTCCCTTCGCCTTCCTTCTTTTCCTTTCCCTCCCCTCCCCTTGTTCTTCTTGTCTTGTCATTTCTTCCCTTCCACCTCTTTTTTCCTGTTTTCCTCTTTCCTTCTGTTTTTTCACCTGCCTCCTCCTCTTCCTCCCCTTCCTCCTCCTCTTCCTCTTCCTCCTCCTCCTTCTTCTGCTTTTAAGAATGTTCTTGTTACAATCATGTGACTCTGGGATCAAGTTGTAACACATTTGCAGATGAAAATCTTAGACCACATACAGTGTTTCCCACTGCAGCCTAGAGTGTGTCTTCAGTGTTTAGGATTTGGGGATGTTCATGGCTGAACTGATTTTCCATGATTTACCACCTCATCCTTGTCTATCTTCTTGTGTACACACTTCCTGAGAACTGTCATCCTATCATTGCATTCTAAATATGAAAGGGTTTGTGACATCACCTCACCCCCATGAACTCATTTTGCCAATGAGGTAATATTACTCAGGATTTTATCAGCCACCTGCTTGCCTTTCTTTTCTATATGCTCTAACGGTGGTTAATTTTCTCCCATGTCTCTCGCTGCATTGTGAGTGACTGAAAGTTCTCATCTTTGTTCATTCCTGCTTCCTAAAATTCCACATGTGAAGTGCCTGCTCCCTCTAGACCAGGATTTCTCAGCTTCTGCACTGCTGACATTTTTGGTTGGATTACTCTTTCTTGTGGGGCATTGTCCTGTGCATTTCAGGATGTTTAGCAGTATCCCTGGACTTTACTGACTAGATGCTCTTATAATAGCACCCCTTTCCCCCGAGATGACAAACCTAAATGTCTGCAGACATTTCTAAATGCCCCCTGTGTGTGATGGGAGGATAGGCGCAAAATTGTGCCTGGTTGAGAACCACTACTCCGGATTTTCCTATTTCAATGTCCTGTCAGCTCTTGAGACTCACAGTATCCCTCACTGAATACATTATCCTCTTTATCAAGTTTGTTCCTTTTCTTTTTTTTTCTCTCCGTCAGTGGCATCAACATTCACCTAGACACTCAAGCTGTCAGACAAGTTCAAATTAACCATGGATTCCACTTCCTCCCTCACCAGATTATGCAGTTAGCCATCAAGTCCTGCCCTGCTTCTGAAATCCACACCTCCCCTCTGCCCTAACACAGGTGCTTGTCAGCCCTCCCCAGAGCACTGCCTTTCCACCACTAGCCCTCCTTCTCGGCCACCAGCCCTCTTTCCTTCACTCTATTCCCCACAGGGCAACCAGAGACTTTTTTCCAAGGCACAGTTTTGATCCTGCTGCCTCCTGACTCAGCTCTCCCCATTCCTTAGAAGGTGCTGTCTAGACTTCTTAACTGGAGAATCATGAATTCCTGCTCCAAGTGTCACAGACACAAACACCTGCAGAGCTGGTCAGATGATGGAATGAGGAAGGCCAGTGGCTTCCTCCCCAGAAGGGAGTTCTGGGGATTAAGTGAGCCCCGACAGGCTCTTGTCCAGGCTGAAAACACCTGGACCCTGAATTCAGCCTGAGAGCCATGAACTTAACCTTACCACACTTCAGGGTTTTCTTCCACTGCTTCTAAAAGGCCCTGTACCTTTAGGACTCCTTGTCAGAATCTTGGGACCTTCTTTAGGACTTTTTAGGGCTCATTTCAGATGTCACTCTTCCATAAAGCCTTCCTTCAAACTCTCCTCTTCAAGCAGAAAGTAGCCTTTCCTTTGTCTAAGTTCTCACTGGATTTGGTTTCTGCTTCTCTTAATCTCCTGCCATCTGTAAGTCACGATTGTGTGTCTTATCTTCCCTTCTAGCTCTTAAACTTCTCGTGGACAGGAACCGGATCTTGCTCATCCTTTTGTTACCTCCAGAGAATGAAGTCTTCAATGATCTGTGATAAGCGTTTGTTAATTGCACTGGCCAAGGTCACCCGCGTGGCTCACGGCAGACGCCGGGGAAGCCACATCTTCCGAGAGTCATTTCAGCTGTTCTTGTCATCAGACTCACTCCCTTCTTGTTCAGGGCCACTCATCAGTTCCTCGCTGAGACCCTCATAGACTTTGAAGAAATTAGGATCCATCCGTTTTGGAAGGATTTTTAAAATTACTAAATGCGTTTGGCTTACGCTTACACTTCTGCTTATACTCCACAAACTTGTTAAATTCCGAACGAGGATAAACAAAGGATCTCATTTTTTCCCATCACTAGACCCACTACCGAGTAAAAGCCTCAAGATCTGAATACATTTAAGGACACTTACATACCTGTTAACGGTTAGAAACGTATACAAATAAATATAAAGTATATAAATAATATTAAATACTTTATCAAAGATGACCCATAGTATAAATTTTCCATACTGTTCTAATTATTAACATGCACCTAAATATTATAAACTTTCCATACTATTAAATTGCTCTCTTGGTATTAGAAGACAACTGCTTTTGATGACATTGATATATGCATAACAGTGAAAAAAAAAACATTGTGGCCAGCAACCCATTTGAAACTTTATACAACTGGAAGATGGCTTTTGAGCAATAGTTGAGAACACTGTTTATGTTTTTTGCCTCTTTGGTAACATTCAGCTCTCTGATTAGCATAAGTCACCGTCATCTCCCTGTTGCTCTTTTGTCATCAGATTGTACGTTGTAAACATTTTTTTGGTAACAAAATGTAGAGATCCATAGGTTTCGAAGCAAAGTGTTTGACTGCGAGCCAGTAAACAGATGAGTGTTGACTTCATCATTTTTATTTTATCCCAGACTTGGTGATACTGCCTTTAAAAGGTCAGCATCCCTAGGCTGTTTACATCTGTCTAGACAAAGGGACACGAGAAAGTCAGAAGTCCCAAGGGTCCTGTCACCCATGGATTACCAGCGTTGCCGAGTGGGATGGTTTATCCGCCATAGATTATAATAAGTCCTATTTTCTCAAACCTTCTTGGCAAATCCAGGCATTTGTGCTTTCCAAGGCTATCAGGAGGCTAGAATTTACACCAGTCTTCCCTTGTAATTACTCAAATGTTAGTATTGGCAAGTGAGGCTTAGTGATTACAGGAATATAAAAAAAGAAAAAACAAAACTGCTGGGTTGCCATCCCCCAGTTGTGAGCAGAGGACACATTTTCTATCTTGTGTCCATTTAAAAAGAGTTATTGCTTGATTTGCTCCCTGATGACAGCCCATGATATCTTGATTCTGGAAGTTAATAACTTTCCTGGTAGTCATATGCTCGAAGGCTAATTTTATCCTTGCCCTGCTTAGCCTACCCACAATTTCCAGTTCTTCCCCGTGTCCTGCAGCAGTGAGTTCCAAGCACTTAATGCAGTCATCTCTTCCTGTGAAAAGCAAGAAATAAAGCTTATTATAAGGTATTAATAGAGAAGCCAGTAATTTCTCGTGTGTGTGTGTGTGTGTGTGTGTGTATTTTACAAGAGGAAAGTTAAAGATAATAAGAACGCCTGTGAAAGTAATCAGGAAATGGAGAAAACTCATTTTCCATTCTAGCACCTAATCCTTTGGTGTGTTTTGGCACCAGAAAACACAAAATATGTCCTCTGTGTCAACTAGGAATGCACCTCTTCGTTTAGTCCTGCTTGAGTGCTCACCCTGGAAAAATAGAGACTGAAAACAGAAGC